GCGACTCTCATTACAATCGCTGATTAAACTGCAAATTATCCAGCAGCGCCAACAGTTCGCGCCTACCACCGGCTCGTTCAATATCAATTACACCGAGCAGTATGTCTGCAGCCTCCGGGAGACTCCAAGTGCTTGATGGTGGCACTTATTAGTTTGGAAAACAAGGAAAATACTAATAATCAGGGGTCAAGGGAAATAAGAAGGACATGAAGGGTTTATAAGGTGGTGAATAAAATCTATCAAGAGATAAGAAATTCTTTTCCCCCTCATATGCAGTTGCATTTAAAAAGGTGGCAAACAAACTGCACCGGGAACAAAGCATCTGTTTCTTTGTGCCAGAGTGACCCACGTTTAAAAAGCAATCTGGGTCTCCGCCTTAATTAGTCAGTTTTTGCGTTTTAATGATGAAGAATACGTGTAATTTATGACCTATACATATCAATGTCTATTTTAAAGCGCGCGTTGAGCGCACCGCTGTGCTGTCATGGGCCATATTTATTCAGCTTATCAGATCTTGTCATGCTTGAGTCAATTACAGGGAAAATCATCTCTGTATGTCTCTGCACTTATATAGATACAAATAAATGTTCTTGTTGAAGAACAAATAGGGGTGAGAGGCTGGTGTGAAATGAAAGTATTGGTTAGTGCATTTCGAGGATTTACAAGTGGTCTGGTTAGTTTTTCTCAGTGATGTGCGCAGATGCAATATCGATTTTGTTTTGATTACGCTAAAATTGAAAATGGGCCCCAGATGAGCTTTTGCTACAGGTGGGTTCAAAATGTGTCACAGGGCAACAGTAGGCCTATGCCTTTATCTGACTTGGCTTAATAAAAATAAGATATTTGTTAATTTATACGTTATAGATATTTTAAGGTTCGAATTATCTTCAGTATTCATATAAAAATAATAATCGACTTTTGACTGGTTTTCGCAGAAACGTATAGGCTAGCTTTCTTTTCCATTTAGAGGCTTAATTAGACATTATAGACTACTGCTATACAATAAAATGAAAGTGGATGAATTATTTTTATGCGAACCTATATTGTCAGAATTATAGCCCATCATTTGTCTGTTTTGATTTATTATATTCTGACAGCTTCTCCCACCAGCACCCTTTCCCCCAAATAAATATCCTGTATTATCTATCAGACACGCGGCTAAAATAAAGATATTGTCATTGATAACATCCCATCCTACAAAAAAAAAAAAAAAAAAAAAAAAAAAAACTATAAAGGAAAATTACATCTCCGAGTAACTAAATAGTTTTTATGCTTTTGGAACAGGCTAAGTCTCTTTAAATACCAAATAAGATACGAGTTCAGCTGAAATGACAAGAAGCAGTAATAACTGATATTATTTGTTACTGACACAAAGTGTGACAAAGTATGTCAGGCTTTCTGAGCAAAGAACACACATTACTGATGATCTGCCCCATAATGCACCTGACTAATGGCAGCTTGCCCACGCGCACTGCTGATTTCATGAAAAATGAATTTTTGTGCTGTCATTCCGACAAGCAAATCCGGAAAGAAACTATTAGTGCGGAATCATTATCCATAGTGATATCTACAAAGTATAAAAAATCAAGCCGCAATTTGTTCAGTAGATGTATCTCGTTTGTGCGTAATTGATAAATAATCAAAATTTATCAATGTAACTTGCACACATTTCAGTTACAATCAAGTAAAAGTAGACCATTTACCACCTGACTTGGTCCGAATTAGAGCTAAATTGACGATCAATTAATCTTGGAGGCGCTAGAGTTGTATTTTGTGGACAAGCAGCAGAGAAGTGGCAAATAAATGGAGTGGAGACAGGAGATTAGTGGAATGAGCAGAAAGGAGCTGAACCGCCTCGGTCTATAGATAATGGGCTTGCAGCTGGCTCGCAAATTGCTGGATTTGTATCATCAGTAAAGGGGTGAAACAGTAGCCTTTATGATTTTTCATTTTAAAAATGAGTTTGTTTGTGTGTTTTTTTTTTATTATTATTATTTACTTTCTGCATGTGGCAATGTAGGTCAAATAGGATGACAGGCTACCAGGTCAAATTATTACCTCTCTAATGTTTATTGGCATGGATAAGTTAGACATTGGTAATTGCAAATTGTAGATGATTTTTTAAAGAGAACAACTGGCCACCTATAAAATTATAAAAAGTGATTAATATATTTTCCTCAACAATACAACACAGGGAAATGTTTTCACATCCATGTACTGCAGTCAAGACTATTCTATTGTTTTTCTCCAATTTCATTAAAATTACAATAATTAACACTGTTTGAGAAATAAATTACTTAAGGTGTTTAAACAAATACACCTACTTTCTTGCGCTGTATGAAAAATTTAATACTCGTTTTTCAACAGATTTTGCATGGAAGGGGAGTGGTTTGGTTCATTTAAGCAATAGTGTTTCACTCTCGTCTTGCAATGTACAAGGTCAGTGAAACTAATTATTTTCAGTATTAATTTGCTGATGCATTAAATTGCATTAGCAGAGTGATTATGCTGGAATTTAATAATTACTAGCACATGTTCCTAATTTGGACGAACTCAGAGTGACCACTGACCCAAGTCCTCCCTTCTCGCTAGCCACTGAAGGCCTTTCTTGAATGATGTCAGTAGGCTATCGGCCTATATAGTGTAATATATATTAGATACCACACCCTAATCCTTTACTCCATAAAAATTACATTCAGTTTAGTTAATTGCCTGATTCAAACACACACCAAAATATGAAATAGATTTATCTTTATTTATTTATCGTTTACTACAAAATTATGTTTTAATTTATGTTGCTACACCAAGTTTTTTTATTTATTTATTTATTTATTCATTCATTCATTTATTTAATTATTTATTTTTGTCAGAAACTTGACTACCTTTAGACCCAAACCTAAAATGCAATTATTCGAACTGGACGACATTTTGCGTTTAAACTTCGAGAACAAAATTTTTGTGCGAACGTTGACATCAAAGTAAACACATTTTCATGTTTAGATGATTGTCGTGCTTACCCCCAAAAGTCTCATTACGCACCGTAATGGAGGCCAGCTACTCCGTGACTTGCCAAAGCTCCATTTCATTACGGTAATCGCCGTCCATTGCTGATTATTTTATTTAGGCCATAATTGTATTCTCCCCAGATAACTCACGTTGAAATCGGGTCCACATGGAGGGCACCAAGTCTAATCACAGTATGAGATGCAACGGGGGTCGCGTCTGCTTGAATGGAGGAGCCGTTGGGTTACTTTCCAATTCACTTATTTCACGGTATATGGTGAGCTCTTTGGACCTATTACCCAACCTGTCAAACTCCAATGTCATTTACACAAAATAAATAAGAATTCATCATGGATAGAATCGGAAAGTTTCAATTGAAAATGCACTGTGGAAATAATAAAATACCCAGAATCAAATCATTGTCAAAATAATGTTTCCATTTTATAGGTGTGTTATAGAAATGCATGGCGCAATGTGCCAGGATAGAAACGACCTTTTAGCCAATAATAATAATAATAATAATAATAATAATAATAATAGTAATAAAAATAATATAAATATTACTATTATTATTATTATGATTATTATTATTATTATAACCGCAAATACATATTTTAATATAACTTTTAAACATTGCAGTAGATATATAAGTTCAATATAATTTACAAGATTATCATATATTCCTTTAAAGAGGACCAGAAAAGATTTAACAAATTAGCACATGATACATGATCATGATCTTAGATGCACAAATATAAAGCTTGTAATTAGGTTTATTTGAGTTAAAATATACAAAATAAGAATTATTATTATTATTAATAATGTATTATTCATATAGCATTTTTCTTAGAATATGTATGTTTTTCCTACCACCTAACTTTATTTCAAGGTTACATTTCGATCCAGGATTATTATGTTATTAATAAAATTATGTCTCAAGCTTCTTGATGAAACACCTTTATATATATATAGGCCTATATATATGTCGGCATTTCTCGGGTCTTTAAAATTCGAGATTCCCATGTTCTTTGTTTGTTTCTTAATTTTTCTCAACAGTCCAGCGGCTTGCCCGTGCACATTCATGCTACAAAATGAATGGAGAACTGATTGATTAAACAAAAACAATCTGAAAACTTGACAGCCTGCCGAATGCACTTTCGCTGAATGGATTAAATTAGGCAATGTATGTCAGCGAGTTTGAATTAAACAAATCAAATTACTTGCGTCAGCGCTGATGAAACATCGATACAACTGAAGCATCAGTACGCATCAGTAGCCTGTTTCACTGCTTCACCTCAAGCCTTTACCGAAATAAATTAGACGTCTTCAAACATGATTTAGCCAACACCGCCTTGAAATATATCTAAACACAATTAAATCACGCATTGTTCAGATTTTACTCAAACAATTGAGATGAAAGCTCATATATTTAGCACTAATTACTTCAAATGCTTAATGGTCTTGAAAATGACTTGTTGGAAATGTACCTTGGATGTGTTGTTAGCTGCCTCAAAGAATTCATCGTTTTTGATAGATGGATTCCACTCAAATAAAGCTGTATGTCGCACGTAATGACACCAGTTCACAGAACCCGCTGCAATACTGTGTTCATTCTCTTCACACGAAAACAAACATGGATGGCCAGCGTTCTACATTCGACTAGTAAAGGGCCTCGAAAAGTTGAGCTATAACCAAAATAGGCTGTTGACTTTACAAAAGGTGCCTATCAGTATTTAGAGATTACATCCCTAGTCGGCCAAGTCGTATAAATTCGACTTTTGCACCTTTTGTGAAGCCTCTACAGAAAGATTTATTATTCGCTGGTTATTTGCCATGATTATGAAGTCATTTAAAATGTATAGCTAATAAGGGGGCAATGCAATAAATCAGATTTGAAATGAACGAGAGCAACCGCAGATGAAACCGGTTTGTGGATTTTAGTGGTTGGTTGTCTGACATTTTCAGCCCTTAATTCTGATTGGTTCCCATTTGTGGAAGCTCACGGGCTCATACAACTATTAAGCGCCTCCCAATCTCTCTAAAGAACAGTATAATACGTGGAACCGCCTTTTTAAACGCACTGACGACTTTGCTTCAATTGAGCCCTATGCGCTTTTTAAAAGGGTTAAAGTTGTAGAGTAGTTTGGGAAGCAGTTGTGACTCCAGCAGTGCGCAATGCTCTCTCATGCCGACCTCTTGGATACTCGCCTCGGTGAGTTATCGCCACCAAACTCCGGTCTTCAACTCCACTGTAAGCTAGAGTATTATTCAGTCTTCAGTCTGGTGAACCAATTTTATGTTTATATTATATTTTAATATGTGCATTATACATGCAATGTTACGTGATAATTACTAAAAGTATTGTTTTTTTCCCTTGCTAAAATAATTTTAATGTTTGTGGTGTTTATGTTTGGTATTATTTGCTATATGTTTATGATTATTTGTGCGACAAATGTATCAATAAGTAGCGTGTTTTAAATATGCGTTGATTATTGATATTAATATGAAACAGCCATTTGGATAGAATGCTAAATTGTTGACACCTGCGTCCACAGGGATGAAGGATGCTGCAGCCGAGCTTCTCGTACACCGAGAAGCTTTAAAATGCAGACTAGGGGGGACTGACTCTGGACACCCCGGCGACCTTACTTCTGCCACAGAGACTGTGGAGGGGACCACTCTGCTCCCCGGAGAAGAAATAAGTAATGGTGGATCCAATCCTAATGGAATGCAGCAGGTCAACGCCAAAGACCAAGAAAAGCAGCAACAGCAAAACTCCAATCAGACGGGCGGCCAGCAAAACCAACAGAAACAGAAACGCCACAGGACCCGTTTTACTCCAGCCCAGCTGAACGAACTAGAAAGGAGCTTTGCTAAAACCCACTATCCTGATATTTTTATGAGAGAGGAACTTGCATTAAGGATTGGTTTAACGGAGTCACGGGTTCAGGTGAGACTTAATGAACTTGCTCAGCTCTGACTTTCCAGACGGTTATTGCCTGTTTGTAAAAGCAAACTGAATCGCTTGGCGTAACACTTATTTATTAATTTAGTTCTAAAGACATACGAAATTTATTGCATGAATTACTTGGCGATTTTCTCTAAAAACAATGTCAAATATGTTTCCGATCGCGCATCTAAAACTATTGCAGTGTTGCCTGTACTAAAATATAATATTACAAAAAAAGCTTTTTAGAAAAAAAGACGTGCTCTAAAAGAATTCATTAAAATAGTAGCTTGCACAGTAGATTGCACAGTGCTTTAAATGTAACATGAAAAAAATGATTTGTAAATAATAGTTATGCATCAATTTAAGTAGACATGCCAATAGTAATGATGACAATAATTATTCGTTCAAACTTGTACATTATAAATCTAATTAAAATAATAATAATATTATTACTTTTTAAAAATAAACAAGAGGTACTATTTATTCTGAAAGCTTCGTCTGAGCTTATTTTCATCAAGAATTACTGTTTAATATTCCACGATGAATTATGGAGGCCATCATATTATTTGTCTCCTAGAATGTACTATCAACTATATCGACTTCATCACCGTTTGTCTGCAAAGCATTACTATTCTGTCCTGTCTTGAAGCAATATATATATATATATATATATATATATATATATATATATATATATATATATATATATATATATATATATATTAGCAGTAGTGATTTTAGAATTTTTTTAATTTTAGAAGTCATAATAGGCTACAAGCAGATGTTTTAAAGGGTGCATGTTTGCTAACCTCGGTAGAATCATATTAACAGTGGAAGAGTTCTAAATAGACCGGACTACATTTAAAACAAATTAGGCGCCCTTTACCGACAAACGCAATTCATGCAATTTAATTAAATGTATTATGATCATATTTTGTTCTTTTGTTTTTTGAAAACACATAATTTTATTAGGTTTAGCCTATATTTTGTGTTTGTTGTTTTTATTTCATTAAAATAAAATTAATCATAGTAAGTCTAAATATACAGTTGAACATAGCAAACTATTTGTTTAAAGTTTTATTTTTTCTCACCCAATAAAATTCATGGTTTTCTAATTGTTTCTTTTTGTCTTTTGACTTCAGGTATGGTTTCAGAATAGACGTGCAAAATGGAAGAAACGAAAGAAGACGACCAATGTTTTCCGGGCGCCGGGCACTTTGCTGCCAACACACGGTTTGCCTCAGTTCCCGTCTGCGGCCGCGGCTGCGATGGGCGACAGTCTCTGCTCTTTTCATGCCAACGACACTCGCTGGGCCGCGGCTGGGATGCCGGGGGTCTCACAGCTGCAGATACCGCCGTCGCTGGGTCGACAGCAGGCGATGGCACAGTCCCTGTCTCAATGCAGTCTCGGAGCGGGTCCGCCACCAAACAATATGGGCCTTTCGGGCAGCTTATCGTCAAACGGTTCCGGTCTTCAGTCGCATCTCTATCAACCCACATTTCCCGGGATGGTGCCCGCTTCCCTGTCGGGTCCAACGAATGTTACCGGCTCTCCTCAGCTGTGTAGCTCCCCAGACAGTGACATGTGGAGAGGGACTAGTATCGCTTCCCTTCGCCGTAAAGCACTTGAGCACACCGTTTCAATGAGTTTCACTTAATCTGAGCACCCGCGATGTCTTTTTCTGTCACTACAAACCTCAAGTATTCCTGAAAAACAGTCATGGAGCACTCAGGATGCGAGGTTCTAACGATGAAATTACAATTTGGCAGCCTTACTGGATGATGGAATCCCAACATACCCTCAGACAATGCTTACAGCAAATGTAGACTAGTGTTAGTTTTAATGCTTGAAATGTATGTAATTTATTTAAGTGTTGGATTCGTTCATGTTTATTTGTTTATTTTTATAGAAGTTGATTTTAAAAATGGGGAATTGTTTATTTATTTTTGAGTATTTATTTGACTCTTCGTTCATATATGAATCAACAGCTGCAAGTATATTTATTTCGCTGTTCAGTGATATTATTTTTTATTAAACCTACTGTAAAAGGACAATTATAAACGAGGACCACATATGTGCATGTACAGGTTGTTTCAAGGCACAAACTACATGTTGGAGCGATTTTTCAGGTACAGAAATGAACACGTTGGATTAAGAGCCAATTTCCAAATAACCAGATTCGGATGCATGTAATATTTCAAACGGGATCAACAGGAAGTTGTTTACAAAAGCAAAATGAACTTGAGTGTTTGTGTAGATAAGACAAAAAATAATGTTATCTGCTGGTACGTTTGTGATATGTTTTAACTTATTGTCTGTGCTTATTACTGAAATATGGTTTTCGTAAATGTTTATCTTACCAAATTCAACAGAATTGGGAAGGTTTATATCAATGATTGTTAAGTGGGTGAATAAAATCATTTTAAGAATTTCTGCATGTTATGTGATCTCTATAATATAGGCAATGTATTTTGGTGCTTTTTAAACTAACCAAATTTATTAAACAGATATATTTATTGAACTAATATTTTAGTCACCACACATATAGAAATTAAAATCAAGCAAAATATTGCAAAAAATCACAACCTACAAAAATATCAACTAAATTTATTTGCTTTTTTAATTTTCCCTCTGTTATAAAATTTGTATTTGATATTTCTCTATAAATTTGAGTGTACTAGTTTCTGAACCATTATTGTAAGTTATTTTGTTAGATAAGGTCCAGATTTGGCTTCAGTACTGACTACACAAATATAATATTGTAGCTTTCTATTAAAATATGAATTGCAAGATAGTTTTGTAAGGGTTGTACTTATATATGCTGAGCACTGTATGCACATATGGCACATGATCTGAATGGTTCTTACAATGTGTTAATGCTTTTTTGTTTAAAAAATCAACAACTAGTGTTTTGCTCAATATGGATGCTCAAGAATGCTTCTGTTCATAAATTACTCATCTAACCTAAATGACCCGTTTCTCTACAAAACTGCATAAAAATGTTGTTTCAAATAGTACCAATATTTACCCCCAGACTATAAATGACTGTAATTCTGATACCAAATAGAAAAATAATCATTTTGGTATTTAAAACATGTCTTCGAGAGACATTTAAAAATAAATGTTTCAAAAAGAGTTTTTTGCACCCATGTCACAGAAGTTCTGTTTTTATTTAGCAATAATTCTTCCACTGCTTATTAGAATTTTTTTCTCTCTCACTTATTCTTCACATACAGAACATTTCAAAATTCCACAGAACCTTTTTACACTATAAGAACCTTTGTGAAATGGAATTGTTTTTTGATATTAGAAGTTCTTTACTGTGTCATTGTTTTACTTATGTTAAATTCTTAATTGTTTATTATTAAAATGAGGACTATCTCACTGAAAATATATTTAATATATTGTTAATAAATGTAAGAGTTTGAATTGACATAAATTCTTACTTTAAACCTTTCCGTTTCCAATCTGAAAATAGTATAAATAAGTCATCTATTAAGTTTCCATGAGCCCAAGATAAAATGTGTGAATGTACAGTAGACTCTGACTAAAATGTTTCCTAAAACACATCTGAAAGGTATACTGTAGCTCAACCAATTATTGTTCCTTTAAATTCCTATTTGAAACATACATTAAAAGTTCCCAAAATGTCCTCTTGAAAATATCATATTTTCTGTGTTCCAGAGAACACATTAATCCATTTTGAACAATGCTGGAATAATAAACAATACAGTACACTTTTTTTCTTTTTTTTCTTTTTTTTTTTTTTTACAGATTTTTGTTTTTAATGGAATAAAAAATAAAACATTCAAATAAAATGTTAATAGCGAAAACCTAACCTTAATCAGTAGTTTGACATTTGATTGTCTCAAAGAATTTGGGAAACATCGGATGCATTAATCGTGATCCTAACCATTTGCATTACCCATAAAAATAGTTTTAGTACTTTACTCCATAGGGATGTAAGTTTATCTGATTGTAGACCAGCACCTATAACAAGATTGTAACCAATTAGTGTTCAATGTTTTTCTCCTGTTCTCTTTGTGTGGTTTGAAAGCGTTACCATTGGGGAGGTGCAGTAGCCCACAAACATCTGCTTGATCCTTTCTCAGATACAATGACCAGACTGTCTCTCATTTAGCGAAGAATCCTTTCAACTGAGAGAAGAACCATCTACTGTCACTTCAGAAATTGCCTTTATCAAGTGACAAAATGCCTAGACAAACCTGAATGAACCCATCCAGAAATTATAATAAAAAATACTATTTTGTCTGTGCATTTTTTACAGTGATGCAATAAGAAGCATTTTTGGTTCCTCAAAGAAATTTTCAGTCACGAGTTTTAAAAATGAACCCCATTATCTGCATAACATTAAAGAAAGAAAGGATATGGGTATCCAGAATATGAAAGTGTTAAAGACATTTTAAATAATCCACTGTTAGGAATTTGGTGGAATGGAAATGATCCATGCTAAATGTTCTTCATGGGACCAAATATTTGGATTCGTTTTTTTAAGGATATGAGACTTTAAAAACATTATATACAGTTTAGCCTTTGACATCTCACTGAGCAGCAAATGAAAAAGACACGTATTGGAAAAAGCTAAATCTGAACCTCTTTCTGAGTGTCGCCCTGCACTGATGTGAGACTAATTGTTCTCCTAAATTTGCATAAAGAATTTTCACAAAACAATGGAACATGTAGAATCTACACAAGTCTCCCCTGATCATTCAACAGTCTCCACGTAGACATCCATCATCATCAGTTTTAGCATCTGCTCTGAGAGACCCTCTGCCTTTTTCGGTCCCTATGCGAACGCAAGCTCCATTCACTGGTGTATTCCATTACTTTAAGCAAAACGCGCAAGTGTCTCATGATTAAAACAGAATATAATGACAATTAGGAGATTCTTTAAATGAAATGAATGAGATTTTGTCAAAAGTGTTCGTTGAAAAATCTACTTTACGTTAATAGTCGGTCCTTAGTGCCACAGAAGATGTTTTCTGTATACGTAATTTTTTATGGATATGAGTGTTATGTTAATGATTCAGTGATGCGCGCAAAGATGATAGAGGGTTTAATCCATGAATCTGATTATAGTCACTGTTAAACAAAATTATGCCATAATATTCAAAACGACAGAAAGATAAACAATGTACTTTTAAAGCACATAAGATATTCCTTTCTTCTCTATATGCTTTTGATTCCACAAGCCTGTCCACACTTGCCCTTGAGTTGCTCTGTCAGTGCATGGAAAGCACCTCACAGCCCCTGACAAGAGCAGCACTAAATCAGAAATCAGTGGATGGCAGAGGGGTTTAAGCCACCATGAAGGTCACAGACATCAGCGGGATGCCATCTTTATCCACATGGAGCACACATCCGTGACCAACAGGAGGATTCTCCCTGTTTTAAACTGGGACAGGCTTCAAGCCAGAATCTCAAAATGGCCTTGCGGAAAGGAAAGCAGAGATATACGTCCATTCAAGATTTGAGCATTTTTAGGTGAAACTATAGCTATACACCATGTTTAAGTATTCAGGCTATGATTCAGGGGTTGGGTTTAGGAAATTCGTTTTCTAGCGTTTGTTGAATATGTTTATGTCTTAAAGATTTGTATAATAGCCTATTGTTTATTTACCATTATTGCTATAATAATAATAATAATAATAATAATAATAATAATAATAATAATAATAATAATATTAATAATAATAATAATAATAATTACTATTGTTATTGTTGTTATTATCATTATATTCATAATAATATTTCATTACTGGGAAAATGTTTATTCAAAAACTGTTTTTGTTATACAGTCTATATTTCCAGAGAATAAACATAGCACCCTGGTGTAACGACTAGTTTTATGAATATAAATGCACTGTGACTGGGTATATATGCTAGATAAAAACAATTTATTTATTTATTTATTTATTTATTTATTTATTTATTTATATGTTTGGCTTGAACAGGCTTGTACAGAATGGGCAAAGTGCTCAACGCGTCTTAACATTGCCACCTGCTGGTGAACTAGCAAAAATGTCTTTAAATTAATCTGACAGTCATTAATTTTCTTTTCGGTTTAGTCCTTTTATTAATCTGGGGTCGCCACAGCGGAATGAACCGCCAACTTATCCAGCACATGTTTTAGGCAGCGGATGCCCTTCCATCTGCAACCCATCTCTGGGAAACATCCATTTACACTCACTCACACTCATTCACTACGGACAATTTAGCCAAAGCTCTCAGAAATAAAGGTACGCAAGCTGGCATGGGGTGGTACCTTTTTCAAAGGTACAAATTTGTACCTAATAGGTCCATATTAATATCATGTTAATATTAATATTAATACCACATATATTATTAGTTGCCTACCTTAAAAGTACAAAAGTGTTCCTCTTAAAATTTGTAGGTACTAATAGCTTACCTTTGAGGTATCAATTTAGAACCTTCGAGTACAAATATGTACCTTTTGAAAAAGTACCACCCAGCTTGTGTATTTCTGAGAGTGTACTTAATCCAACCCAATTCACCTTTAGTGCATGTCTTTGGACTGTGAGGAAAACCTGAACATCTGGAAGAAAAACAATCGAACGTGGGGAGAACATGCAAACTCCACACAGAAACGCCAACTGACCCAGCCAAGTATGGAACCAGCGATCTTCTTGCTGTGAGGTTGTGTCACCGTGTTGCCTGCATAAATAACTCAAATATTAATATTTTATTATCATTAAAATTAAGGCATTCATATGTGGTGACCTTAATTTCATTCATTCATTCATTTTCTTGTCGGCTTAGTCCCTTTATTAATCTGATGTCACCACAGCAGAATGAACCGCCAACTTATCCAGCAAGTTTTTTACGCAGCGGATGCCCTTCTAGCCGCAACCCATCTCTGGGAAACATCTGCACACACTCATCCACACACACACACACACTAGGGACAATTTAGTCTACCCAATTCACCTGTACCACATGTCTTTGAACTATGGGGTAAACCGGAGCACCCTGAGGAAACCCAGGCTAAGGCAGGGAAAACATGCAAACTCTACACAGAAAGGCCAACTGAACCGAGGTTCGAAGCAGCGACCCAGCAACCTTCTTGCTGTGAGGCGACAGCACTACCTACTGTGCCACTGCCTCACAGTGACCTTAATTTTACAAATGATAATGTCAGCTTTCTGTTAAGGAAACCTATTTGTTTAACATTATTTAGTACGTGGTCCATAGGAGATTTTTGGAGAAGCCTGATTTTTAAAAGAGTAAGTAAAAGTTATGCGGCCTTTGCAGGAAACAGTTGATGTCTACCATTCTATTTTGAGATGCTTCAGAGTTTTTGATTTTATGGTGCTTCTTTTGGCTAAATAAGAAGAATCTGTTAAGCTGCACAGATAAACCATCTCACACTTAAAGCTGAATGACATGAAT